TAAGAGCGGCCTAGCCTTGGGCAGGATGCGGGCGCCTGGAGGGTTTTGTTACGAGGCTTGACCTTGGGAGCTTCAGAACAAGGTTGCATGTGTGTCTGTGCGTGCATGTTCCTGTGTGCACTTCTATATGTGCAAGTGCATGTGTGTGTGCACATGTGTGTGAGCTCCACAGCTCTTGGGGTTGAAGCACTGGCTCGTGGCCCAGCGCCCTGTGGCCAGGCGTGGTGGCCACCTCGTGGTACGTACAGGCGTTGGGAGAACCGGGGGGCAGCGGCAGGTAGGAGCCAGCCCTCCAGGACCGTGAGCGGAAGTTCTTCCTGCACTTGCTGCAGTCGGGGCCAGTGGTGTTGTGCTCGCACTCGCACTGCAGGCTGCCCTCGCGCACGGAGCACAGGTTGGCATGCAGGTTGCACTTGCACCTGCAGAGACGCAGAGGGCAGGTGTCAGAGAGTGTGCGGAGCGGCCTGACCTTGCCCAGGGGTGTCAGAGAGCGTGCAGAGCGGCCTGGCCCTGCCCAGGGGTGTCAGAGAGCGTGGGGAGCAGCCTGGCCCTGCCCAGGGGTTTCAGAGAGCGTGCAGAGCGGCCTGGCCCTGCCCAGAGGCCGGCCCCTGGAGGGCACTGAGCTGACCTGAAAGGGACGCTGGGGGGCACTTGTGCTCTCCTCTGACCATCCCAGAGGCTGTGAGTCACATACGAGCACATATGTGTTCACACAGGCATGTTCGTACGCTCACACACACACACACACACCTGCTCCGAGGCTCCCAAGAACAAGCTTTGAGACCAGACCCTCCAGGCCCAATCTGCCTCCACTCTGCTTCAGGATGAAAACGACCCAATCCCCGCCCCTGTCAAGGGACCAACAGCATTCCGAGTCCTCTCCCAGGCCAGAGGTCCCCCGGACGCGCTGCTGTCGGTCCACCGTCTGCCCCGTGGTGGGTCAAGGCTTTCCTGCAGCTCGAGCAGGGTTGGATAGTGGGGCTCCCTTGCCCCAGATGCCGCTTTCAGTAACACGACTTCTGATCGTTGAGCTCGTAACAGAGGGGAGGGGACCCCGTGGAGACAGGGCCCGGCCAGGGCTGCCCCTCTGCTGTCGCTGCTGACCCTTGCCCTCAGCCTTGAGAGCAGCAGAGAGAACCCCCACTCCCAACTCCTGTCAGCCCATCCCACATGTATTATTCATTCATTCATTCAAATATTTATAGGCACTCATTATTCTGAAAACGGGTAAATAAGGGGGAGTCAAGCCTTGTCCTGCCTGTCCTACATAGGCTGTGTACCTTGGAGTAACCAGAAGCTGATGAGGGGAGTCTCCCTTTCTAGAAGCATCTCATGATAGAACCAGCTGTCCCTAATGAGGAGGGCTCCGGGTTTCGAGCCGCACCAGCCCAGAACGTCACAGAGAAGGGCAACTGGAGCCGGTGCTTCCCATGGCAGGAGCCGTCGCCCCAAACAAGCTGAACCGAACCGGATCTGCTCTCTAGATCTGGCTAGGAGTTTGCAGGCACCCGAGGACGGGGCAGCATGCTCACCTCCAAAGCCACATGGGCAAATCAAGACCGCCAGACCGAGGCGACTCCAAGTAACACCCCGTTTTCAGCAGATGATTGCACGGGACAGGAGCTGACACGGAGGGAGGAGGGGTCTGCAGCAGATGAAGAGGAACCCCGGGAGCAGCCCAGGGCCTGCTGGTTCCAGCACTGGGTCCCCGTGGCCACCTGTGCCACCTGAGGCGCAGACCTCGCAGCTTGAGAACCACTGCACGCCAATACCCAACAGGACAGAGGAGAGGGCACCACGGCCTGGCCGTTCCCCACGGCCGGCACTTTCTCCTCTCCTCTGTCTCTCCGCAAGCACACGTGCCTTCTGGCAAATCTTTTAAAAAATTACTTGATTAAAAAGAGAAACCTCAGGGGCGTCTACACCAGCGGCAGGGTGTGGACCATCTCTGCATCTTGGGTGACGTGACTGTAAAACCACACACGAATGGGACGCAGGTTTGTGGGACCTTTGGAAGCTGGACACCGAACGTTCACTGGTGTGATGACGGTACGGTGGGGACCCTGTCAAAGCTCTTATCTTTTAGAGGTGCACAAAGAAATATTTGCAGACGAAATGATCTGATGACAAGATCTGCTTCAGAATAACCCAGAAAGGGGGCACGGGCTGTGCTGCGGTTTGAACGTGTCCCTCACAAGCCCCCATGTTGGGAGCTGGTGAGCGCCGTGACGGCGCTGAGCCGGTGAGAACTTAACCCAGTGACGGTGCCGACAGGCGGGGCCGTGGGAGGCGTCTCTGTCCACCGGCGTTGCTAACAGAGAAGGCCACGACCGAGTGGCTCACCGGAGCTGAGGTGGCCTCGGCTCACGGCTGGGAGCACCAGGCTCAGGACTCAGCTCCTGGGAGGCGACAAGGTGCAGAGCCCAGGGTCTCGAGCTGCTGCCTGTTCTGTTCTCGTTCCCCTCTTACACACCCCAGAACTCAACCACGGGGCCCCAGCCTGGGATGCCGTGCAGAGATTTGCAATTTCACTTGACACCCTTCTATTACAACTGTGTCCCAGGATAGGGATGGGGGGGCACCCGAACTAAGTAGCAGGAGCCTAGGATCAGGGTGGGTGCCATGACTGGATCTTCGTGTGTTCTAAGGAGACACAAAGACAGTTGTGGATGCGTGCTCTGCTCGGCTCAGGCTCTTGCCACGTCATGCCCTGCGTCGCCTCGGAACCCCGCCACAGGACCCTCACGGGTGCTGCCCCTGG